CTAAAGAGTAGAAGGAAGGTGAAAGAGAAGTAAAGAGAGTAGAGAGTCGGTGCGCTCCGTGGAGATTTTTATTTCGCGCATTGAAAACACCGAGGGTGTCTCGTTAGGCGTAACCGTGCTTGCCTCGGCGAGATTAAAATTGTAGAACGCCGGGACGAGAGATCTTAATTCAATTAAGAAGGATTAGGGTGGCCTTAGGGTTGTAAGGTCGCGGCAAGCAGGTGGTTGGTAAGACGTTCGTAACAATTCAGAGTGGAGAATGATGATCGTTCTGTGTCCTACCGAAACGATTTATCGTTCAGACGGTGTTAATGGATTCACGTGGTGAACACTGCGGAGGATATTGAATCGAAGAGGAATTCTCACTTGAACTAATGCAATTGATTTCTCTTCTTTTTTTTTTTCAACACTTTCACCGCCGTTGGCGCCTTTAGGCGCTCTGAAAATTTGCTCGCAGTGTGTCCTTTGGCGCTTATAGGCGTTTTGAATATTTTCTCGCGCTGTGCTGCTCGTTGGCGCATTTTTGGCACACTTTCACCTTAATTTAATCCACAATTTTTGTCCTTCACACAATTCTACCTGAATTTTTCTATGTTAAATTTTACACTTTAACTTAGACATTTTAAAAAAAAAATTAGAAGACTCCACAGGCAAATATTTTGCAGCCACAATTGAACATATACGAGAGTTCTAAGTAGCGAAAGGGTTAAAGTACTTTAATATCTCGTAATTCTCGTCGAGGATGTATTGAAACGATACCGAAGTTTAAATTTATTTTCAGAGTTGATTAGTAAAGCGGGTCTTTCGTTTCCTCGACGAAAGTTCAGTTTCTTTAACATTAAAGAAACGTCGAAGCAGAGGAAATGCGGTGTAATGAAAAAAGATCGAGAAGTGCAATGACACCGATGTTTCACTACGATATTTTATTTATAAACGAAGCAAATTCTCGTTACGTGCCAACTTGAAACTTCTCTTCGAAGCAGGTGTTCCCAATTTATATTCACGTTGCTTTCATTCACGAGAGATTGCCGCTGGTTTAAACGATTTTACCAGATTTTTCAGCTATCGTACGAACGGCAGGTCAGTTAAAATCTACTTTCCGCCACGTTTTGTATGACACAGTGTAATACTGTGATTCAAGGTACGCGATTAACGTATCGACGAGTCGTGTTTGACGTGATTATTTTAGTACTGTGAAAATACGCGCTTGCGAAATGTACACGTTTATCGGCAAACGTGCATGTCATTGCATTCGATAAATTTGTGAGTATAATTCTGAAAGGATTTATTTGTACCAATACCGATTGTTCCCAATATGGAAGTGTTTGCCATCTGTCCTGACTTTCGCCTAAACAAATGGCGATGCGGTAATATTGGCCGATACCAGAGAGCCACGTACGAATTAATTGATTTATTAAATTTTGTAATTTGTCACAGAAGAGTCTCGTTCGATTCGTTTCTCTAATTATCATCCTCACGTTTGTTCATGACACTAAAAGATACAATTAAAATGTCTCTATCACATTGAAACGTGATGTAAACTTAAATCTAATTTATCCATCAAATAAACAAATAATTTCTTGAAAAATAATGTACTTGTATTTCACAGAAAACAGTTTCGTCTGTTTCACATTGTCATATGAGACAAATTTCGGCGTTTTTGATGCCCGGTTTGCTCCAATTTCTCGGAAATAGGAACAGATATTGGGGTATCATTGAATTAAAACACTTAAGGATCGTCGTTGCGTAGAAACAGAACTTTATTTTCCAGAGGTTTAACGTTACGTGAAGTACGCGTGGTAAAACACAGAATGAACACGGAAATGGAGAAAATAGGGCTATTTGAGGGTTCTGGAAAGATGGACTTTGGGTTGTGACTATGCAGGACAGTTGGACGGTGAAGAGTCCAGTAGGAGTAATGTAATTGTAAATGATTGCAGGACGAGAATGAGTGAGTGAGAGAGAGAGAGAGAGAGAGAGAGAGATAAAGAGTGTCAACAAACAGTGCCTGGCTCGTAGGCTCGGTTCTTATAAGACGGACTCCCCAATTCTCGGTTAACGTACTTTTCGTACATGAGTTTATTGTCGTTTGTTTACTAACTTCAGCCGCGCCAATCATAATTAACGCGGTTCCTGATTCGTTTGGGGTTGGTAGGGGAAAGGGGTATAAGAATAGGTGCGGAAATAGTCTTAAGTCAGTACAGTGTCAGTTCGGTAGAGTGTCAGTTCGGTAGAGTGTCAGTTCGGTAGAGTGTCAGTTCGGTATCAGTGTTGTGGCCAGTGCAGTTGGGTCCCTCAATATTTTTCCGTCGTTGGTTCCTACAGTCATGGAAAGTGGGTGAGTCATTGTAGATACAGATAAAACTAAGCCTAACGAGGAAAATATTTGAGGGTGTAACAGTTCGAACAGAGATTTTCTTGGTTCTTCAATTCACTTTAGCTCGGTGGTTCGTCGAAGTATTTCAAGTTTCGAGGCATTAAGCCTGAATCGAAAGGAGAAACGGCTGAATTTAAGCGCTCCCCAAAGCAAGAAGCTCGAGTCAGATTCAACTTGGACAAAAATTTGATTGGAAAAGTGTCGGAACGAATTTCCAACCGATCCCCAATACACGATTTCGCGATTATCCGGCGTTTAATCGCGGTTCGAATCGTTCGACCAACGGTCTCTTCCTATTCCATTTTTCACGCACGATATTCATCGAAACTAATTATGCAGCCGCATGCCGCTGTTTCACCAGGGTGTGGCGATTGCGTATCAAGATAATGGATTAATTTTGGAAGCCTGAGTGTCTTCGAATTTCAAACAACGCCGCGCGGTTAATGCCTCCCGAGCATTTCACGGTATTTAATTAACACAGGATAACCATTACTTAATTGACCAACGCGAGAATTAATTAGCGTTCTCCTATCGGCAGTTTTACTTGGAGAATTATTTACTCGTCTTTTTTTCGTGAATTGCGCAAATACGGCGAGGGACACAACGAGAAATCGGCTTGTTTCAAGGTTAAGCGTTGCATAGGTTTTCTGCGCGATTATCGCGACTCAACTTTAGCACGCGGCATGAATTTTATTTCTGGGAAATTTGATTGGTCGTAAAAGTAGTGGGGCAATTAGCGAAGCACTGGGAAATTTCCGAGGCTATTAAAGGGCAATTTTTTAAGTACACACTCGCAATTACGACGCTGAAACGCGTTTAAAAAATGATGATGAACGGTGAAACGTGAGAGGAATATCTTTAGTGTTTCGTGTCAAGGATCGGCCACTAATTAATTTCGATAAATTTTGATAAATTCGGGCAAGTCGGAAGGAGTTGCATTGAATATTGACAGCAAAGTCAACTCATGTTGACTATTATTAAGTCTCAGTGAAAGAAGTAAATTAAATTTCATTTCCCGGTGAATTTCATTTTGTAAATAAATAATAATCGGCTGAAGAAATAAACGAAAATTTTCATGTTGTCGATTAAGTTCGAGCGAAAGAAGTAAATTAAATTAAATTTTCTCAATAAACGAAAATAATTGCCTGAAGAATTATTGAAACTTGTATGCATGATTACGAGAATTTTAAATGGTTCTTTAGTGTTCTTTTTTTTTTTTAACTTTGCTCTTTTCTTTCGCGAAGTTTCATTTATATTAATTGATATCATTACCGTTTCCCCACAATATATTCAAATATATGAAATGTATAGGAACTGTAATTGTCTACGTATCCACCAAAGCAGTTGAGAATCGCGTTTGTTAAATTATCGTGGCTTGGCTCACGTTCGTATCCCGCGAATTGGGATCGTTAGCTCCCCTCTAAACGTCAATTTAACTTCAAATGAGCGATTAAGTTAAGATCGATGGGCTAAATCCGTAGCTAACGAGCACGAGTCTACAGAGTAATGTTTCTAAATCGGTAAAAAATACAGACAGCTCGCACTGTGCTGAAGAATTTAACGAATTCAGGAATTAGCTCCTCTGCTCTTCGTATAAATAGTGAAAAATTGTGGAAAAGTTGATTTTCAAATGTTCCTATTGTAATTTGGAATGTAACTATTTTTCGAAGAATTTTATTTTGTTGGATTTTCTATATTGAACTGTAATTTCTGTTCCGATACCGCTTGCCACGTTTTTCTTACTCCGAGCATGCCTGCTAAAAGGTTCGTTGAACTAATGTGCTTCTAATAAAGGAAGATACAAGAAGTTCGAGGTAATTTACGGAAACACTAATGGAAGATACATAAGGAAAATGGCTTACTGATAACAAGAAAAGAACACATTTCTTTGAGGCTGCGAGGGTAGGAAATTGCTTGCAAGGGCCGAAAGGGAATAGAAATATCGGCCTTCTCTAAGTGCGAGCGTATCCTTTTTACACATTTTATTACATAAAGTGTTACTTTAAACAGTAGTTCGTGGCTCACCTTACTCATAAATTTTAAAATTTAATTTTGATTACTAAAACTGACAATGAAACCAATTTCTCACAAATTCTTATCTCTTCGTTTGTGTATTTTGGTATCTAATCAATTTCAGATCAATTTTTCTGTTGTTTAACCGTGATTTAAAGTTCTGTAGCACTTTACGCATCACTCTATCTTCATCCCCAAATGTATTGTCAAAACAGTCTCACTGAATCATCAAATTATCAGAATTATTTCTGGGAACCTCACATTTTGCACCCAAATTTAAAAGCTTCCACCGAAAGTATCAGAAATATTTCTCAGAACCTCAGTTTGCACCCAAATTTAAAAACTCCCGCCCTAATTATCAGAATTTCACATTTCGCACCCGAATTTAAAAGCTCCCGCCCAAATTATCAGAATTATTTCGCGAAAGCACACGATTTACACCGAAAATTTTCTTTCGCCTAAAGCACTCTTGCCACGAAATCCTCTCGAATTTCTCGATCGAGGAATTCTTCGAAGGCAGATTCGGGTAAGAACAGTCTAGAAGAATATCGCAAACCAGAAAGAAAGGGGAGGGGGGGTGAACGGTCGAATTGGTCCATGATACATTTACCTACAAGGCGAAATGAGTGGCTCCTTGGACGTGTTTGTGTGACATATTCGGCAGACGATTGAACCAACCGAGACCACGCTGCGGGTAAGCCGGTGTTGTTGGCCTCGCCCGAGAGACATTTGCTGCGTGTCGCAGTCATTTAAATTGCAGGACGAACCCTCGGGAACGGTGACCGGTAGCATCGGGATGCCGTGCTCGTGATCCAAGTTAACTGGAACCGAAGAGAAGGATACACATGAGGCGGTGCATATGTATGATCCAGCACGCTCCGTACGCGTTTACTTGCACCCTCTATTCGACGTAATGGCCGGCTTTCTGTGAAATTCGCTGCCTCGAATATCGATTAACGCTCCACGGAGGTAGAAGCGTTATTTTGAAATGTTTTGGAAATGCTCGTGATAGCACGTCGAGAGAGGGATGAAGTTGTTCAGACGAGGGGATAGAAGCTAATGGTTAAAGTGGAAGATTGAGACTTTGCTCACTCTGATACCTTGTATATACATACATATTCTTCGTTTTAAGTATCTATTAATATTCCCTTCGAAGCTTGATATTTTTAGTGAAATGAATTGTTTAGTTTGAAGGATAGGGAACGATTTAGTTCTTAGTTAACGAAGGGAGTGAGATTTTAACACTTCACTGTACAGACCACTCGGCTCTGAGGCGAGTTTGAATTTTGATTGCACTAGAACAATTTAGTGGAGAATTTTAGAAGCTAGCGAGTTTGAGTAGCTTCAATTCAGAGAGTATTCATTCTTTCGGAATAATTTTCTGCTTTTTAACGAAAGCATTGCTAAGTATAGTTAGCCATCTATGAGATGAGTCGTCTATTTTCCGTTTTCTTCTTTAGTTATTTCTCGAGCGTTATTTATAATGCTCTAACTTATGTTTCTTCTCTAATAGAAGGGCCAACTTGACGTAGAAAGTGAGACGAAATAATTAAAAAAAAACTTGCACTCGTTGAACCACTGTTTACACGTTAAAGGGTTAAAAATTAACGACACCAGTGTACAATTATTTGTAAGTGAACCTAAAAAGAATTTTTTAAAATAGGTATTCAAGCAAGCTCGTGCATTTAATGATTCATTAGTTTCACTTAAATAGTACGTCATTTGATAATTAATTAGGACAACCTCTCGCATGCTGTTTCTTTAAGACCTACTTGGTAAATTATAGTAACGCAAGTATTTCCTGTTTAATTATTGAACAAGCGTCGCAAATGAGCTGTTCTCCGTCTCGTGATTTACTCTGTAAAGGGTAATTAATTGGCAAGCTGTAAACTTAAAATAACAGGAATCAAACACGAGAGGAAGCGGAGAATACGGTGCATATGTATGATCCACCACGCTCCGTACGCATCTGCGTGTATTTACAGCCTATTAGGCGTAATGGCAGGCTTTGTGGGAATTTACTCCCCAGAATTAATCAATGCGAAATCTGATATCGGTCCTTGAATTACAAACAGGATGGCACTATTCGAACTACAGATTCGAAGTTTTACGATCGTGCTGAATTTCATTCAGACTCCTGCCTCTTAGAAGATATTCGACAGACATCGTTTTCGCACTTTGTTTACAAATTCATTTATGGAGTTAGAATACTTTCGTCGAAATTATAGTTTTATAATTAGTAGAGGATGCTTAGTTCTAATTATTCTTTTTTGATAATATTGAATTTCGTTCAATAGGATTATCATTTTTTGCTCGTAATATTGAATTTCATTCGTTAGTCTTTAGGTAATTACTTTTTGCTTGTAATATTGAGTTTCATTCGTCAAGAGTAATATAGTATTTCACGTCAGCGATAGTGTCCGGTTGCTGTCACGAAATATCCAATATTAATGACCTAGAATCAAAAAATTATTAATAAATTTGCACGAGAAATTTGTATAATTTTACTAATTTAAACAAAATTCCTCTGTAATAATGACATTTCCTTTTTTAATCGAGTACAGTATTTGCAATCTGTCCAGAATGAACAATAAGTGAATATTATAACGATTATTTGAACTGCGTGCAAAGAACGTTCAACGAAACTTTCTTTTAATTAACTGAGTAATTGTTAAATAATGAAGATTTAGTTATTGCTAATTCGAGAATAATGACGTAAGTGAAAAATGAACGATCGCTCAAGATGTTTATTTACGAATATTGAAACACACCTACTTGCATTCTCGACGTGATAAACGGTCGAAGGTGAAAGCATAACCAAACGGTTGAATGGCTTCTCGAGAAGTATGGCCAAAGAAATACTTGAGAGTAAGTTGATACAGTAATTTCTTTAGGAGCTGTTTCTTATTCAACGCGATCCTTCCGTATGCAAACGAGACGAAAGGCAGAAGAAGACCAAGCCGGAGAAAGGAAAACGATGCCGGTTTGGATAAACGATAGAACTGTCAGTTCATCTTAGGAAAACGCGACGATGCGCCCCCTTTTACTGCCGACAGCTTTTCTCTTTTCGTTTCCGCGACAAAGGACGAACGAATAAACAAATAAGGAGCTGCAATTCTAGCTGCGTCGTTGAATTTATCGTGAATTCATATTTTGGTCATTTCTTCGTACGAAATGTGTGAAAATAATCTTAATTTGGTACTTTGTGTATCGCTAATTATAGAATATTGTCTTCAATTTTAATTAAAATTTTCTTTGAAATTTTATATAATTCTATATTTTAATAGAATTTTACATAAAATTTCATATATTTTTGTTCTTTCGAGCCTTGTAGTGTTTGCACGATGTTGTGCCGTCTGGATAATGATTCGAAGGACCACCCAATATGTTTGGGACTTGTAGATTGAACTGGTTGCTCCTTGGTTCTCCTTGCGGTGGTTCTACGACTACTCGACGACTGACTCTCCGACGTCGCGTCTCGGACGTCCGTGAGAGGGAATTTTTGTTTTCCTCCGGGTGACTAATCGGCAAGCGGACCGTTACATACAGATGTGCCGTTCGGAAATTCGTGGTTTATGGTATGTTCGTAGGCTATTGAGCGCGAGGGACACAAATTACTAAAAATCTAGCAAAGCAATTCTAGTGACCCCCGGAGGAGGTAACGAGACCCGTGCAAGCAATAAACGAAAATCCTCAACTCAAAAATGACCGTTCCCGGTCGATCGTGCCATAAACCGTTTCTACAGAAAACCTAACATTCTCTCTCGATTATTTTACGCAAAATTATGCGTAATGCGAATTACCGAGCTTGGAATTTCCAGCTTGAAAGATATTTAAGGAAAAGGCAAATCGATACGCGTTTCATTGGTACATTGAAAAATAGTGGAAGAAACGTATCTTGAGACGTTGCCTTGGTCATAGGATTATGAAGATTAATTAACCGCAGAAACCATGCTACGTCGACGTCGGTAAATTGAATCTCCAAAGTCAGCCGTCTGGCTGATTTATGGCACTATCACATCGAAACTTTTTCCCGCAATATACCTGGATTTGCATTGCATTAAATGGAAAAGTTTATCACTCATAAGCGATAACCGTCATTCTTTCTGGTACAATCTTTTTAATCAGCGACCTCAAGGCTCGTTGAAGCCTCGACAAATTGCAATTAGGGGTGAACCTATCCATAAGAATGTTTTCACTATTAAAAAATAAAATTTTGCACGGGACAATTTTTCCAGACTTTCAGAAATAATATTTCAATTTAAATGGATGACATTGAAAAGCACTGTATCTTTCTTTTCTTATTTAAATATTCACAATTATTATTTATTCTGAACATAGTATCACTATTATGTTATTAGTATTCTTACGAAAACTATTTATAAATACACTAAGAAATAATTACAAATTCTCAAAAAAAAAATTCGACGAGAACTTTTGCACAGACTTAACCCTTTGAACTCCAAATTTTTTTAAAGTTTTCTTTTCAATAACTCCCTATTATTTTAAGAATTTTATTTGAAATGCACTTCAAAAGACATTTGGTCGATAGGAACCAATTTAAACAATTTTTTTTTACCAATTCATGGTCATCCAGGTAAAAAAAGTATTGCAAAATATAATACATATTTAAACTGGAAATTTAAAAATTACTTCATTCATACCTGTGAATAAAACTGACGTCGAGTCACACTCGACAAAAGAGTCCAAAGGGTTAATATTTCAAGCAATTTAACGAAAACTTCGATGAAACACGCTGAAGAGACAGAACCCCTAAAAGTTCACAAAATAAGAAATCCACTGGAAATTCGTCATTTTCCATTGTTCGATTATTTTCGAAGTAAGTACATTTCTCTGTAAAAATTGAACAGCCACGCAACCTCGAGGCACGTCTGTCCAAGGAGAGCAGGTTCTTTCACCTTGTTCCGTTCGTTTGGCGAAGAAAAAAGACCATCCTCGGACGATTTCCGTCCCTTCTGCGACAACGAGTGACGCGGCGTTTTAGAATAGAATTTACTCGTCTCCGCTGGTGGACATAACATTCCCACCCTTCTCCGCCCCCTCAAGAAGTTTACCTTTCGACTTTCGTATTCGAGATTTTGTTTTCGCCAATCCTGGCCGAGCCGCGGAACCGCCAAAGTTTCCCGTCCCCGGGACGCCATTCACGGATTTTCTCCTTTGGAATTTGCCACCCTTCTTTTTACATTGGCTCCACGGCCAGAAAAACAGAAACATTTTCTATAAAATCCCTGCGATGCTGCTGCGTCTCGGGCTTCCCCACTTCCTGCTACGAGTCCAGCCCAGGGAAAATATGTTGTCGATGCCTGGTTCCGGTGGATACGGAGGAATTAGGAGCACCGAATGTCTGACATAGCGAAATTTATGTAGACAACGAGTGCGTTCTCGTTGCTCTTCTCTGTTAAAGGCTCTCGAAGAAGGGAGTATTTTCTGCACAATTTGTGCTTACTTCAAGATGACGCTGAAACGACCCACTGGGTCAAGAATGACCCATTGGAAATTTCATAAGAAATGTGTGAATTTTTGGAACTGATGAGTATTGTCGTTTGTAATTTTTTTATCGATATGAGTTAAATTCTTTTTATCACGGTTTAGAGAATATTTTGATTTGCATTTGAGTAATTGAAAATTTCTTATGTGAGGTCTTCTATCGTGTCAAGTGAATTATAGTCTTTGAAGTGAAAAGTGTTAGAGATTTCTTGAGGGCAGAGAAAACGTTTAAATAATTTTATGGCATAGGTGAACTGTGGGAATCTATGAGACTCTGAGCTATTATACTAAAGTTAGAAAATTCTGAGTATTTTTGAAAATTTGTTCTAGAAACTTAAAGAATTCTGACTATTTTTGAAAATTTACTCTAGAAAATTAAAAAATTCTGAATATTCTTGAAAATTTGATTTAGAAAATTAAGAACCACTGAGTATTTTTGAAAATTTACCCTAATTATCCTTGTCACGATGAAATTTCGCTCATCCAAGTGAATATTTATACGAAAAATGTATATAAAGGATAAATTGAAATAATTGAGAAATTTTTTGGTTGACGAAGGAACAGAACTGTAGATTGCGATTTCGATTAACGTTTAAGAGAGTTTCCTATCATCTTGGTAACGTTATACGCGAATTAACCTGGTCACTGAATCATAATTCCAAAGAGGGACCGGGGATGCTTTTTGGTAAATTGGGAACCGCTATGAGCAAAACACAATTTGATGTTGATATACTGCCAGGGTATGTATACGTATATACATATACAGCTCCTATTGCGAATACCTTAGATAGTTCAGTCCATTTCATCTCCACTGCTTTATCACTAAATATTGCCTGACTTACACCACGGAAACTGTTCAACGGGCTGCCGTAGGTACCCACAACGATTTCATTGTTCACGTTCTGTTCATTCTACGTTCATCGGCATTTACAGCGTCGTGCAGTATCGTTATACAAGACAAGCCACATTTGTCATTTCCAAGGAAATAGTTGATTCAATGTTTCTAATTCAATGCCAGCGGTAAATATTCCTCGTGCCATAATTTATTAACATCGCTGATTTATTCGTCCGAGGACTTTGTGAACAGAATACCGTTTAATCTATGATTCACTTCGTTCGCGTGAGTAATTGATAAAGGTATTTTCTTCAAGATTTTAATCATTCCCTTGGATCAGCACTTCAAAATTTTTATATTTTTTCAATTTGGTATGTTCTTTCTGAAATATAGTTTAACGTTTTCAGATAAAAATCTGACGATAAACATTGATTCTCTGATGAATAGGCAAACAAATCTTAGGGTGGGTCAAACGTGACCCAATTTACTCTTCAATATTTGGGGATTTTCTTCAGAAAAGTGTTTTTCAAGTAATCACAGAAAATTCCGAAAATATCGCTAATTCTTCGCTAAATAAAACGCAAAATTTTTAAATAATAATTTCCATTAAGCTTACCTACATTCCCCTTCAAGACTCGAATCATTCCCTAAGAATAATCTCCCTCGGATCAGCACTTTAAATTATTAACAAACTTTTTTCTAAATTTACAATTTTATTCCTAAAATATAGTTCAATATTCTGAGATAAAAATTGATTCTCTGATAAATCTTACGATGGGTCAAATGTGACCCAGCGTACACTTCAATATCCTACAATTTCCTTCGCAAAAGCGCTCTCAAAGTAATCTCAACAAATTCCAAAAATGACACTAATGTTCAACTAAACAAAGCACAGAATTTCCAAATAATAATTTCCACTGTACCTAAATTCCCCGCAATCTCACCAACACCCTCATTTACATTCCCAATTACCCCCATTCAAAAAACTACTCGTCTCATTCGCACGATCAATCCAACTCACAGAAGCGTCTCCAATTAGTCCACTTATCCTCAAGTGCAAATCCTAAGAACCACATCCCCTTCGCGTTGCCCACGTGCAAGCAGAAATCTTAACCGGAGAAGAGGATCTGAAAGGTGGCAAAGAAGACACGTTCGCGTGATAAAAGCGGCACGCGTTGCAGCAACCGCTAACGAAATGCTTTCGTTGCCCGTTCGACGACACTCCGACGTTATATACGTACACGTACGTTCGTCCTGGTGTTTCTGCATACGTATACATGTACATAGAGAACGAGGAGATCCCAGGAGATACGTAATATGGGATACGCGCGCAATTTCACTAGCAGCCACAGGGGCGGGTTTTCGGGGTGTCGTGTTTAGTGGCGATAAATTTCCGGGTTGTACCTTAAGACGGTCAGATCTATACGTGTGTATGGGGTTGTGTGTATGTATAGAGGAGAAGATGTGAGGGCTGGTGTGTGTTAGTGATACGACGGTAGTTAAGGAGGCAGCTCGTGAGAACAGG